ACCTGAAAAACTTGGGACCTGCAGGCCCATTTTTGTGGGCTGCCGGCCATCCCTTTTGGCTACCGTCCACCCTTGTGCCTTGCCGGCCAAGTGTATGGCCTAACGGCCGCAAGTGTGCTTTGTAGATATTTTCTACCAGCTGTGCTAGCTGTTTGCACAGATGTTTACATCTACCTACACGTGTATGGATGGATGTTTCTGAGGGAGTGTGATAGTTTTCTATAAATAGAGGACCTCCCCTTCCGTTTTTGGAGGTTAGAAAAATTAGAGCGAAATTAATTTTCTCTCTTTACGATTCTTTCTCTCTCTTGAAATTTCTTGAGCTTTTACTCATACACTTTTAACCAAACCTTGCCATCTTTGAGCTGAGGTACTTTGAGCCTACTTTGAGCTCTTGAGGGTGTGTATGTTTTGAATTGTTGCTTAAAGTGTTCTTCTTTTCAAGAGGTATAAGGCTTAGCATGTTTCATTGCTTTGGTTGCTTCTTTTCCTACTGTTTTTCTGCTGTTTTTGGGCTATATAAACTCTGTTTTTTTTTTGGCTGAAACTTATGGTGTAAGGCCTTAAGGGGTGGAGCGGTGGTTCACCTTTCTTTCCACCTTGTTTCTTTAGCCTTTACCTTGTGTTTCCCACCTTTACAATATCTTTTTTTGAGCTTTTAAGTGCTGAATTTCAAAGTTATTTCAGTGGCTAAAAACATGTTTTGAAGTCTAAAATTGGAGGGGTTAGTCTCCCCTCCTTGTGTCTTGTTCACTAACTTACATAGCTCCATGTTGTAGCTTACTATTTTAGCTTTTTTTTCTTAATTCCAACACTTGTTTTGCATGTTTTAAGATTGTTTTAGATCTGTTTTAGGTATTCATTGCATTTATGCTTTGTTTTGCATGCTTGTAGTTTAGTTGTCCTCATAGGTTTAGTGTTTTAGGCCTTAGCCACCAACTTATTTAAGTTGATAACATTTATTTCTTGCTTTTCTTACTGTGATCACCTCTAATCATCTTCGCAACCTCCCTCATTTCTTGGCTTTTTATTTGCTTTGAGAGTTGTTTCAAACCGATTGTTCTTGTATTTAGCTTTTTTTGTCTTAATTCCAGCACTCTTTTTGTATGTTTTAAGATTGTTTTAGGACTATTTTAGGTGTTTATTGCATTTATGCTTTGTTTTGCATGCTTGTAGTTTAGTTGTCCTCATAGGTTTAGTGTTTTAGGCCTTAGCCACCAACTTATTTAAGTTGACAACATTTATTTCTTGCTTTTCTTACTTGTGATCACCTCTAATCATCTTCGCAACCTCCCTCATTTCTTGACTTTTTATTTGCTTTGAGAGTTGTTTCAAACTGATTGTTCTTGTAAGCTTGAGATAGAGGTTGTCGTGCTTAATGGTTTAATTCCTTTTAGGGGTTCATTATCAACGGCATGACATCTCTCTTATGCCTTAAACTAACCCTTGGTTTGACACTTCCTTCCTTTAAAGGACTTAATCTTCACCTTTGGACTTAATGAATTAAAGAATGGAAATGTAATTAAAATAGAATAATAAAACTTGGACTAAAATGATGCAAGATAATAACTTGGTTTGGATTCAAACGGACGTTAATTGAATCCTTGAGTCTTGAGTCGTTTCATACTCATTAGTGATGAAAACGATTCAAGAGTCATTGTCAACCATTTCCCTTGATCATTCATGATAGGGAGAAGGTTTGAGAGTCTTTATTTGAGTATTTATTGAAAGTGTACCCTTTGGTTCATAGGCCATAATGTAATGAAATGGCTTGGATTGATGGCTTGTGAATCAAGTTTATTATTCATTTGAGCTGTCCGATAATAAAGAGGGGTAAAACGTACAAACATCCCTGAGAACATCCTATTTTTTGCTTTGTTTGTCCTTTGTTGCACTAGGAAGGACCAGACTCCAGTGGTCGGCTGGCCATCTTTTTGTGGACGGCAGGCTACCTTTGTGGACAGCCGGCCACCTTTGCAAAACCAAGCTGTATACTTTTATAGCAAAACAGAGCTGATTTTAAGATGAAAAACATTGAAAATGTTCTACTATGCAACAGAGGCATCTGGCAACAGGACAGTGGCTTTTTTGGGTGGAAATTCGTGCATGCATGAGCATTCCTCATTTCCCGAGGCAGAGTAATTTGAATAGCTAGCTTAGCACTTCTTTCATGTTGTATTCATGTAATTAATTAGTTCGTTTTGATTTATCATTAATTAATTAGTTAGTTCAACTAGTTAGTTAATTTGTTGTAATAATTAATTAGCTAGTTTAGTTGATTATTTCATTCGGTTTGTAATTCGTAGTAATTAGTTTAGCTAGTTAGTTTATTTGGATCCTCACGCGTGAGGGCATAAATGTTGTAATAATGTGTATGTCTTCCAATCCCACATCTTTCTCCCTTTTATCTACTAACTTATGATGGTTAGTTTAGAAGCGTCATGTTTCATTTAGCATCTCTCATGTTTGCATCCACTTGCATTGCATGTATTGAGGCTTGGCGCATCATTCTAACTTGTATCGTTAGTTACATGTCTCTTTGAATACGTGCTTAGACCGCATGCTATAAAATTGATTCATATGCTATGTTAGTAACCGAGCCTAGTAATTGCATATTGCATGCATTGCATTAGTCATATTGCATTAGTTAGGATCATGCATTTTTTCTAACTCTTTTGTTTATTTTGGCTTAGAGTACTAGGTGAGCTTTTACTCGCTTTAGCATATCGCATGAGTATGATTGTTGCCATATCCAGCATGTTCACCATGAGGCTAATTGCTAAAATGACATAACTGTTTGAATGCTTGTGGATGAAGGCTAGTTTCTTGACTTGGGATAATTTGATTAATGTTTATTTTAGCCTACTGTTTCGAGTGGCAAATTCACAAAACAATTTCAAATAAAACATAAAATTAAATGTTCCAATTCTTGCAAAAATTAGTCTATACTTGTGTGAGTTACATAGTAATATAGCTAATAATCAGAATAAGAGAATATAATGTAAATAAGAATCACGTATTGAATAGTAGAGGCCAATCTTTGATCGGACGATGGGGGTGCTCAATTCATGACCTTCCCCTCTCGTACCTAAGTTCCCGAGCCGAGACAACTTTGGTGATGACGGACTAATGGCCTTTGGCACGAGTCTTGGGTTTCCTAAATTTCTCAAAAATATTTGGGTGGCGACTCTGAAATTTGGCAAAGCAGTCCATTTTTGACATTTTATTCAAAACATCGATTTTCCAAAAAGAATTGTTGGATTTGGACTCTTCTTGTGTTTTCACTATTTCACATCGCACTTGTGGAATCAGATTCAAAACCATAAGTAGAGTCCGAACTGTAGGGTTTCTCGTCTTCCAAAAGGAGCGCGAAAAGTCGAGCTACAGTAGGACTCTATCTCTCCTAAGTAGAGTCCTCATAGGAGTCACACTCCCAAAGGATAATGGCTATCCCTGGGACACCCTCATCGCTGCTAGCCAAGTGAGATGGCCAGAACTCTCTACTTGGCTATCGATGTGCTCAACCGAGCTATATTGCTCTGTTCTACTTCTAGCCGAGCTGTGCTAAACCTAACCAAAAAGTGGCACTCTGCCAAGCTACAACTAGCTCGGCCTGCTCCACTGAAGTCAGCTCGGTTTGCTTACTGACCGTGCATAAATAGCTAGGTCCAAGTCCAAACAACCATTTTCGACCGGCCCAACACGAGCTCAACCCAAAACTGAGCTACACGAGCTTTTATCTCGGCCCATTGCGCTACCCAATTTCCAAAGAGGATTTTACATAGCTCGGCCCAATTTGTCTATACAAATTACCCTCTCAAACTGAATGACATAGTTTTCGGTCTTGTGTTTAATGATTGAAGCAAAAAAAAAAAAAAAAATTCAAATTTGAAGTTGAAAAAGGTTTTTTTTTTTTTTTTTTTAATAAAATAAGTGCACAAACTGATGTGAGTAGTTTTGAAATGGCTAGATCTTGAAAAAAATATATGAAAAAAGAAAGAAGTCCAAAATGGACTATCGAATGCAAATTTATGTTATGTTAAAATTTTAACACTGTATAAATATCAATCTACATTTTTTGATTTATAAATTAGACAAATATATATATGTCCCATTTTAAAATTTTAATTTTTTTTAAAAGTGCACAGATAGACAAATAACACAAATAATGCATGGATAGAACATGCAGCATAAATAATGTACAAATAGACAACATATAATGCACAGATAGACAATATATAATACTTTCCAATGTACCAAAAAAAAGATAGACAATATATAATAAATTGGTTCCAGTCGACTTTAACGAACCTTTAAAAAAAAAATTACACTTTTGGTTCTACTCATAGATTGGAAAAAAAAAAAGTGATAAAAAAAAGTGCAGAAAGGACACAAAAAAAAAAAAAGGGTAAAAGAGGATTGGTTTTTTTGACTTGTTTTTTGGATTTTTTAAAATTACTTATGCTTACCAAAATGTAATAAAAAAAAAGGGGTTAATTACAAGAAAAACCCTAGGGTTTAGCATTTTTTTTCAATTTAAACCTCAGGTTTTCAATTTCGACAATTCATGCCCGCATCATTCCACCCGTGTTTCAATCTGATCCCCCCGTCCATCTCCGCCTCTATTAGTTAACAGAAGAATGATTTGGGTGCCAAAATTGTACAACAAAGTCCTAATCTTCACGATTTAGGGCAAAAGATACCCCTTATTACGATTTAGGGCATCATCCATTCAACCCACCTGGTACGATTGGTGATTCAACCCACGATTGAAGCCACGCAGCAAAGAAATGCACAAATTTCATGGTTGATTTTCTAAAAAGCTTTGGAGTCTGAGATAAAGGTAAGAAATGGGTTGTTTTATACTGGTTTTCAGTTTTTTTTTTTTTTTTCTCTTTCCATTGTTGATCTTCTTTTTCTCTCCATTGTTGGGGCAAACTGTTTTCTATTCCATCAAAGGTGGTGATAAGAAAGACAAATAAACAAAATGAAAGACAAAAATGAGTGAAGGTAATAGCTGGGGTGGGAACAATTGGAGTGAGTTAACTCGTTGCAGCTGTGGGTTAAGAGCGAAGATCAGAACTTCGTGGACTCTTGCTAATCCTGCTATGAGGTTTTTGGGTTTTCCAAATTATGGAGTAAGTTTATATAATTTTTCAGTAAAGTCAGTTAGCAATTTTTTTAGTATTTATAGGAAATTGAGAATAAAATAATATCATGAATTTGAAGAAGATAACAATTTTATGGAAAAATGACATGAACACTTGTTCAACTTTGTTTATGTTTGTTTGCATTTATAGAAAAATGGGGCTTGTGGTTTCTTTTCCTGGTACGATCCACCCACATGTGCTCGTGGTAGACAAGTTTTTCCGAAGTTGGTGGATAAGGTTGCAGCCCTAGAAGAATTTGTCAATGAGGTTGCACGATTAGAGGATGTTGTTCAACGTTATCGTACACGACAAAAGTGGCTTGTCATTACTTTGATTTCTATAATGCTTTTGAATGGACTGTTTCTACTCCAAAATAGTTGAAGGAAAACTTGTGTTTAGGCTTGCTATGTAGTTGATAATATGTGTTTTGGCTTGGTACATTACTTCTAGAATGTGTTTTGTAATTGTAATGCTTTTGTTGAACAATGGCAATGTCAACTGTGTTTGCAATGAAATGGTGAAATGGTTTGTTTTCAATTTAATGTGTTTGCATTGTGTTTGGTTTACTTTATTCAATGGTTGTGCTGAACTTAGAATACTATTGATGAAAATGATGTCCTGCATAACAACCACTTCTTTAATTATTTGTACAATGTAAATAAAATTCAAGCAAAACTTGGTTTGACATAAGCATAGCAACCATTGAACCATAAGAACCTGTTTTTTGGCCACATGAAGTCACAACATAATTGAAGCTAAACAACCATTGCATAACAGCCATTCAAGGATAACAACAAATGAAGCATAAGAACCTGTTATTTTGCCACATGAACTTAGAACATAATTGAAGCCAAACAAACAATAGGGTTTGAACCATTCATCCAATGAAGCATAATAACCAGACAAGCATTATTCAAGGTTTCATACATTACAAATGGTTGCATAACCCATAAACCTAACAGTAGTAACTTTCATAACCCATGTGTATAGCATAATTGTTCCAAAAGTGGTAAGTATGGTAAAATAAACCATGAAGATTGCAAAAGCCATATTTTAATTACAAAAGTGTTCAAAACCACTTGTTAATACTAGACTGGCTGCCCATTGCTTGCTTCTTGCTTATGGTTATTGTTGCTGATCTTGTCCTCTTCCTCAGTTGCCCATCAGTTGATTCTCCAACACCACTTGATGTTGCTGTTGGCCTCTTCCTAGATTGGCCACCATTAGGTTGTGCTTGGCTGCTCTCCTCTTCCCCTAGTAATGCAGCTGTTCTAAACCCCATGAATGTCTGTAAAAGAAGTTTGTTATTAATAACATGTATTATTTGTTAGTAACCAAATATTTCTTTACTTTAAGTTAATGGAATACTTACACTATTATTCGATTTCCCAAAACGTCCATTTTTCTTTCTTTTCACAGGACCCTTGCAAGTCCTTTGATTGTGACCATAACAACCACATTTAGAGGATTTCAGGGTAGACTGCCTCCTCTGCAACTTTTATAGATTCCTAGGTTTATCTGGGTCCCTAACTCTCTGTCTTGAAGGCCTACCGGTTGGTCTTTTAAGCTTGGCGGGTAGAAGAGGGTCACACCCTATTTTAGGCCACATATGTGGACCATTCGATGGATTAATTAATGGCTCATAAGTCTTCAAAAAAGTTTTTTTTCTCTTGAAATATGCATGAACATAATCTTCAACCCTCTCATTCTGAAAAAATATAGTAACTACACCATGGGGACAAGGGATTCCAATGAGGTCCCACTTGAAAAATGTGCACGTTCTATTCTCTAAGTTCACTACATACCCATTCCCTCCATATCTTACTTCAAACTCGGTACCTCCTGACCATGTAGGTATCCATACTCTAGACTTCAGCTTTCTCTTTTCAACTTTGCATTGTATCTTTTCACAAATGGGCCCTTTGTACTTCAGCATGCTATCCCTACATTCATGTATCCTCACCATCAAAGCCCTTCTAATCATCTCCATCATGGTAAGGATGTGTTTGTCCCTAGCGGCTAGCACCCATGAGTTAAAGCATTCATAGATGTTGTTCAAAAGCCTATTGAATTTTGTTCTTAGACTAAACCCATGCCTAGACCATTGGACTAGGTTCACTCTCATTATCCATTCATATGCCTTACTATCTACCCCCTACAGCTTAGACATAATGATAAGATTATTTCATAACATAAGGAATACATAAAAATATTTACCTTCTATTGATCAGTTATAAATGTCCATCCATGTTCTTTAATTGGGCCAATATCTTGTAACAAATTTTGCAAAAACCAACTCCAGCTCTCCTTACACTCTACCTCAGCTACAACATAAGCTATTGGATACATTTGATTGTTTCCAGTCCCTTCAACAGCTGCAAATAACTGATCTTGGCAAGATCCTTTTAAAAAAAACAGGTATCCAACCTAATTAACGGTCTGACACTAGATAGAAACCCTCTATTAATTCTACTAAGGCATACATACATTCTCTAAAACCTAGGTTTAACTTCCAATTGAGGCCTCCACACACTCATGTCAACATTAGTACCCTTATTGTTTCTTCTCAACTCAGCTGCATAATCCCACAGCCTACTATATTGTTCAGCATTGGTTCCCTCAATCTTCTGAATTGCTGTCTTTTTAGCTCTATAAGCTTTCATTGTTGACACACGTTTAACAAAACCCTCTTTGATAGTTTCCTGGAACTCATTCAGTTCCACATTGGGGTGGTCCTAAATTTTTTAACGTACTTCTCTGCTAACCAAGAACTAGTAATTTGTCTATTCTTGTAAGTTCTAAAGCAAAAGTGTTTAGGTTGATATGTTTTTATCTGCAAAGTGTTCTCTCCAGTTATCTTGGATGCATACAGTCTCGATTCACACCCAACACTACAATTCACTTGAACCTTTCACTTTTCACTTTTAGTAAACTTCACATCATACCCCATTTTTACTGCATATTCCTTGATAGAATCTTTGAACTTATTTGCATTATTAAACAACATTCCTAGTTTGAAGTCAATGTTCTGCATATTAACCTCAAGCCTAAATTCAAGGTACTTAGGCTTGTTGTTATTATCCTCATCATCAGAGCCTATAGGGGTAACCAGTTCTTCCAGAGATGAATCTTCATCATTCACTTCACATTCATGATAATGTTTAAGCCCTTCTTCATTGACATCTCTATCAACATTACTTTCAAACATAATGTCATAACATTGGGATCATCATCATCATTTCTATCTGAGAAATCCCTGTCTGATGGGTCATCATTGCCATCATTGTTGCTGTTTGAGTCCTCTTCATGCTGATTGTTGTTATAATTTCCATCATTTTCCAGATCTTTCATAGGTACATCAGTAAGGAATAACGCAGGATGAGCAATATCTACATTATGTGGCTTATGATGCTCAATAAATAACTCTAAGGTATTTGTATTTTCCAAATAAGAAAACATTTCTATCATATCATGATCATTAGCTAACACTCTTAACCCTAAGACCAAATCTTTCTTGGGAATCCTATAGAAAAATATGTTTGTAACAAAAAACACCTAACTCCTTCAACATACAGCTTATCTCTAGGACAGATAATTTATCAACATCAACTGCATCAAATACATCCACATTACCCCCAAAATAACTCCTTTTATCATTCTCAATAAAATAGCCATTGTGATGTGTAAGAACTTTAATAAAAGTTCCTATTACTACATCTACAAATAAACAAAACAATAACAACTATGGGTCCACTTTCCAAACAAAGCATAAAAAAAAAAAAAAAAAAAACCTCATGTTAAGCAACTTGGCCCATATATCTCCATCCATGGAGACAAAATATGACAGAAAGGCAAACACACAGTCATAAAAAAAATAATGGAGACCCTGGGACCACAATGTGTTCAGTGATATAGAGACATGCCTACATTTGGAGACAAGCATTGTCACAAAGCAATAAACAAGAAGTGTGCATCGACAATGGAGAGAAAAATAAGGTCATAAACGAATAAAAAAAAGAAGAAGCAACAATGGAGGAAAAAAAGAGAGCAGAAAACTTGTATAAAACAACCAAAAAACAACCCATTTCTTACCTCTATCTCAGAGTCCAAAGCTTTTTGGAAAACCAACCATGAACTTCGTGCCTTCCTTCGCTGCGTTGCTTCAATCGCGGGTTGAATCACTAATCACTAGGTGGGTTGAATAGATGATACCCTAAATCACAATGAGGGTGTGTTTTGCCCTAAATCGTGAAGATTAGGGCTTTGTTGTACAATTTTGGCACCCAAATCATTCTTTTGTTAACTAATAGAGATGGAGATGGATGAGAGGATCAGATTGAAACACAGGTGGGATAATGGGGTATAAATTGTCGAAATTGAAAATCTGAGGTTTAAATTGAAAAGGCACTAAACCCTAGGTTTTTTTTTTTTTTTTTGTAATTAACCCTAAAAAAAATAATAATTTTGAGAAAGAGATCACTAAAGATAAAAAGTTTATAAAAAAATATTTTTAACTATATGCCAAATACCCTTTGATTTCGGAACTAGTTATTTTAGTTGATTTTTTTTTTATCTTTTACAAAAATACGTGCAAAAAAATAAAGAGAAAAGTTGACTTTTTAGTAGTGATTTCTTAAGGGGCATTTACATGCAAGTCTCATTTTGTGAACTTATAATCCATGAAGTCCTAGATAAAATTATTTGCTCCTTCAAGTCCCATTAATTTTTAATTGACCAATTTATTCTTTCAAAACCTGCTCCATCGTCGTCGAAGGCCGATTCCAGAACGGCGACGCCGTCGTCATACTTGTCACGACCCAAACCCGGCCTTATGGGTTTAGCACCGTAACCGGCTAGTAATCCGAGATTACCGAAGGCCTGCAGAACAGTAGTACAGTAAAACAGAGTACAGAGCCTGGCGGAAGCCAATACAGTAAATGAATAATGTCCATTGAGCTGTGTCAGTCTGTATGCCAAAAAGATTTTTCATGCATTCACATATACAAACAGTACAGTCTATACAAAATTTACAGTCACACAGTACAGGGACCTAATCCCTTGATAACAGTACAGTTAGTAGTTAACAGTCTATACAGTAATCCAAACAGTATGGAGACAGACGGGGGAAAAACAAGACACCCCAAAGCCATAGCATGGCAACTCGGAACCTCTCAGAGAGGCACAAAGGCTGGCTTAACAAAACTGGAGTCTAACCCACGCTCTTAGCTCCGATCTGGCGGTTGAGCACCTACATATATATATAAACAGTGAGCTAAAGCCCAGTGAATAACATAATGCGTAAAGGGGTTATGAATGAAATGTCCTTACTAATTAACCCTAAAAAAAATAATAATTTTGAGAAAGAGATCACTAAAGATAAA